CTTTCAGAAAACAAGCACCAATTTTATGGACAATCTAGAAGTTTTTTTTTTTTTTTTTCCCAGCCAGCAGGTGGATAGATCCTGTTAGGTTTTAGGAAAGGGGGTCAGGGAGAGGGATACAGGTTCCAGAGAAAGGCCGGATGAACGTCCTTCAGCTTCATTAACTCTGTGAATATATTTGGTATGGTGTGGAGTGTGGGTGTGGGGGGGGGGGGGGCGGGTCTTTGCGTGCACCTGCCTGCCTTCCTGCCTGCCTGTCTAAAGGTCTGCATCATTGTCTCTGTTGGCACACTCACTTGCAAATGAAAGAGAAGGCAAACCCAGCGCTCCTGGATGCTCACTCCTCCTGTTTTCCCACTTGCCAGTGTGACTGCAGGTGACCCCTTTGGATGTGCATCTTTCTCTCTTGAGAAACACTGTTGTTTGCAGTAGACTCTTACTTCATGCAGAATGACAAGAAAAAGCACTATAGGACAGATGTCATTGTTCTTTTAGACGAATGGGACCATTATCTTGCCTAGCAATTCATCCAGCCACTGAAGGAAGAATTCCCAGAGAAGAAATAATACTTTACTTTTATGTCAGTATCTTTAAAGAGATATCGTGGGGATTCAAGGTCAGCCTTTCATCTTAGAAGCCATTTTTTTAAGTTAAAAAAAGGTTTTAGTGTTTATCTGTGTTTGTGTTTGTGTTCATGTGTGGATGCACCATTTGTATGCAGGTACCCTCAGAGGCCAGAAGAGGGCGTCAGATCTCTCAAGCTGCTGTTATATGTAGTGCATGATGGGACCAAAATGAGTTCCTCTGGAAAAGCAGCAAGCGCTCTTAACAACTGAGCCTTCTTTCCAGCCCTCTTAGAATCTATTTATAATGTTATTTTCTTAAGCAAACAACCACTTGTTTCCATCACACTATACAAAATAAAATAATTACACTTTAAAATCTGATTTTTTTAAGTTCGTAAGTACTTCCATTTTATAAGAGGACTGTGGTTTTCTGTTAAAAAAAGATAAGGTAATTGTGATTGTGTGGAATGATTATATTTTCATAACTACAGAAATGATGGCTTTATAATATGGTTGGTTATGGTGCTATCGTTTTAGTTAAATTAACAATCACACTGTGTATTGTTTGCAAGACACTGTGCATTTTTCTAAACTGTTAAGAATGAGGAAGGCGAAGCTTGTGCCCAAGCCATTCAGGTACTTTGTGGTGACAGCTCGTCAGAGTTGTGGCTAACACCGATCTCACAGAGATGAGCGTCACCCACTCTGATTCTAAATATACATCCTAACATAGACTGAACAGAAACCAGGTACATACGCACTCAGGGAGACGGTGCCCACAGTGGGTGAGGGAAACCATGAGTCCGCCATCCCTGGAGGCTGCTGGCCCACTTTGAAGTGCCACTGTTCCAGGCTTTACAGGCACTGGCTCTGAATGCTAGGAGATTTTCGTCTCTTGCTTGGATCCTCTCTCCATGTGGTAGTTGTGCAGCCTGCCACCGGTCCACGTATTATAGGAGCAGCAGCTGCCAGAGGAGCTGGGCCTTTTGTTGTCTAAGACCCATCAGGACAGGAACTGGTAGAAAAGGATTTAGACAAGGACAGCAGCAATGCTGATGTTCGGGAGAACAGCGTTCGGTTTATGTTGGGTGGAAAGGAAGTGTTTTGGACTCTTGTGGAACTGTGTGTCTGTGGGATTTACGGGAATAACACTGACAAGTAACACTTTTTTTTTCATGTTTAGGATTTCTCCCCTGTGTAAAATGAAGTATGGATACAGTACATTCTGTTTCTACGCAAAAGGCAGATGCAATCCTAACTAATTGTTCATTTAGTGGAAAGTGTTGGGCTGATGGGGCATTTGGGCATAGCTTTGACAGAAAACCAGGATCTCTGCAGGTTATGAGTAGGTAGCGGAAGAGTAGGTTTCTAGCTATGTAAACCACATAAGATGACTGTGGAGTTCAGGAAGTGGGGATCTAACTAATGTCTAGTCTGTAGACTGTTGTGGACTAAGAAGAGGAATGCCCAGAAGGAGAGCTGGATCCAGGCCATGGCAAGAGTTTGGGTGTTTGCTTTGTTTTGTTTTTAGTTTTGTAATTAATTCATCAGTCTCTTTCCTGAATGGTTTCTTTCTAAGACAGTTTTTCTCTGTCACTCACGCTGGCCCTGAACTTTCCATGCTGTAGCCCAAGCTGGTCTCTAATTCATTCTTCTTGCCTCAACCTCCTGAGACTTGCAACTATGCACTTATGTCACCATAGCTGAAGGAATCTGAGCTTCATTCTCTATGTGAGGAACCATTAAACATGTGAGTGTGTGTGTGTGAGTATATGTGTGTGCATGTGTATGTGTGTGCGTGTGTATGCGTGAGTATATGTGTGTGCATGTGTATGTGTGTGTGCGTGTGTGTATGTGTGTGTTTATGTGTATATGTGTATGCGTGTGCATGCATGTGTGTGTGTATGCGTGAGTATGTGTGTGCTTATGTATGTGTGTGCATGTTTGTGTGTGTATGTGTGTGTTTGCATGTGTGCATGTGTATGTGTGAGTATGTGTGTGTGTGCATGTGTGTGTATCTGTGTGTGTATGTATGTGCGTGTATGTGTGTGTGTGTGTATGCACGCATGTGTGTGGTAGTGGAGGTGAAGGAGCAAAGAAAACACATAGTCTTTCCACTCAGTGTTTCCTAATTCTGGGTTACCTACATTAGAAACGCACAGTTTTGGTGTTCTAATAATTATTTTTGAAATCTTTTAAAGAAATTAGGAGAAGAGAAAATATATTTATGGAATCTTATGTTTACTCAAATATTTGTCATTTTAAAGACGTTTAAAATTTTCATTTAAAAGAGTCTTTTGTGTGGTTTTTGAGATAGCATGTGTACATGTGTGGGTGTGGGTGGAGCCCATTGGTAACCTCAGCTGCAATGTTTCTTTGAGATAAGGTCTCTTACGTTTACCAGGGGTCTTACCATAAGCACTGGAAGTATAAGTGCATGCCACCATACCCAGCTTTCACACGGGATAGAACTCAGGTCCTCAGACTTTTATGGTACACACTATTAACCCCTCGCATCTCCGCTGCTCTGAGATAGGGTCTCTTGTAGGCCACTTTGGTCGGGATGACTGAGAATGACCTTGAACTTCTAATCCTTCTGTCTCTACTTCACAAGGATAAGATTACAGGTGTGCACCACACCTCTGGTTGGTAGTATTGGGGACTGAACTTGGGGCCTCGTGTGTGCTGGGCGAGCATTACACCCTCTAATCTACATCTTTTTTTACAGAACAAATTTAGTCTTTTAACCATTGTAAGTGTTGGGTTTCATGATAGTAAGTATTCACATTGATGTGCACCGGTCACCACCGTCTGCATACAGAACTTTACACCTTAACTAACTGTATGCATTAAACACTGAACTCCTCATCCTACCGCCACTCTGTCTCTGTGAATGTGAGTGAATGTGAGTGTTCTGGGTACCTCATTAGCTACACTCACTCCTGCTGTAACTGACTTAGTTACGTCTAGCGCTTCCTTCATGTTACAAGCGAATAACATTCCGTTCTTTGTTTATACTGTAGTTTGTTTATACATTGATTTCCTGATGGACACTACTCCTGCATGTTGACTGTTACGCTGTTATAAAAATGGACGCACACATATCTGTTTTAGTCTCCGCTTTCAGTTCTTTGGAGTATATTCCCCAAAGAGGAGTTGCTGGAATATATGGTAATTTTTAAAAAAAACTTTTTGAGGAATTGTTTATTAGTGTCTCTTCTGCTGTTGTACTAGCTAGAACACCCTGAAAAGGCAACTTGAGAGAGAGAGTCTGTTTTTGCCCTATGATTCTGGACAAGATGCCATTCACCATAGCAGAGTGTCACAGTGGTTTCCACAGTGCCATGTGATGTCATTCCTCCGGCAGTGCACACGCTTCCAGACTCTCTCCAGCCTCACGGTGCTGGCCTTGTGTGTGTGTATGTGTGTGTGTGTGTGAGTGTGTGTATGTGTGTGAATATGTGTGTAAGTGTGTGTGTGGTGTGTATGTATATGTGTATGAGTGTGTGTGTATGTGTGTGGTATGTGTGTATGTGTGTGGTGTGTGTGTATGTGTATATATGTGTGAGTGTGTGTATGTGTGGTGTGTGTGTATGTGTGTATGTATGTGCGAGAGAGTGTGTGTACGTGTATATGTATG